CGCTAGCCGCGAAACGGAGAGGGGAACGCCACGACCGCGTACGTCGCGCACGTACCCGCCTCCGATCGCGGTCTGTTCGCCTGCTCGCTCGCTCGCTCGCTCGCTCGCGGGTAGCGCTAACGTTAACGCTAGCACGCGAACGAACGAGCGAGAGAGCGAGGACTCGAGTGATCCTCACGCGAAAAAGTCCGACCACCCGCGCTCCTGCACTACTTGCTCCACTTCCTCGCATCCGCGTGACCTACGGCCGAAAACGTAACGAACGAGTGTTGTGAAAAATTTACTTTGCTCTTTTTCTACTTTTCTCTTTTCTTATGATTACACCTATTTTCATACTCTTCCAAAAAGGGATATTTAAAAGAAGATCGTGAATAGAAAGTAAAATTAAATGTTATATTATGCAAAAGTGATAAGCATGATAACAATCGCTTATTCATTCGTTACATTCACATAAGATAATTAAGATGACGCATACACCCAACACACGTATACATAAGTATACATGCAAAAGAAAGTATAAGATGTTCTCTTGCAGTTACGCTCATTTATGCCAACTTGTATGTGTGCATGCATCATGTTTTATCGTTCTATCCAATTACAGAGAAAAACAAGCGGAAGTAACTGTCGACCTACTACCAGTATGGAAAGTAAGGGTTTAATAGTTGCCCCGTTTCCCTCGTTCGCGCACATCTCATCCCCTGTCGACTATTAATTTGCCTTTCAATGCAGTACCGGTGATTATCGATTTGATCGGTCGAAACCTCCCCGGTAGAGAATTTTTGCTTGCTTCTAAAGTTTATCGGACCGCGCGTTTCCACTAGTTTTAATAGAACCGTCGAATGAGCAGTTCGTTTGTGCAACAAATCATTCCCGGTCGTTTGCCTTTCGATTTGACGTTGACCTAATCGAATTTTCTACGCGATCGTACGATTTATCAACGCTCTGTATAATATAATCGTTCGCTATACCTAATTTGCAATCAACATTTCTTTGACACGACTAACAGTGACTTAATGAAGTTGATGCTGTATGGAAACATTTTAGTAGATTAAACGTTAAAAATATAAATTGTTAACAAAATCGTAGTCTACTTAATTTTGAATAAATGCAACTATGACAAAAAAGTTATATGAAACTTTCATTGTGACATGCAAAGTCTGAAAATAAATGATTATTTTATTAATAATTCTCTCTCTCTTTCTCTCTCTCTCTCTCTCTGCCCCCTCTCTCCACTTCAGGATTTTATAAATACATTTTAAATCATTCATATCACATGATCATTTTTTTCCTTTTGTATTATTCATGAATATTTATAAACGCTTCATTTTATCCGTTAAAGGAAGAACTAAACTTGTTGCATTCAAAATGATAGATAGGAAAAAAATTTGATCAATAAGAAAAACTATATAAATCAGATTAAAAGATAAATTTAGTGCGATATATGCGAAAATTTATATACTAATATTTCAAAAGTGTTAATGAACTTGTCACGTCAAGCAACGCGTGGCAATTATCATATTTGCTGAACTAATTAAATTAACGTAGTTCGTATAAATGATTTTTGCAACCTGTATTGATATATTGTTGTACAACGAGGAAACTATATGCATCGCGTTACATATACGGAAATAGTAATTTAACACGTAATATTGACACGAGCCAATATGTACCTCGCGTATTGTTTTTATTACACTTATCACGCTTCTTAGAATTTCGTACTTAATGGCTGTAGCTAATTAATTATATGATTACACAAATTAATCATAGCATAAATCCGGATATGTGCATCGCTCTGTGCAACGATGGTCGGTTTATCGATTAGAGCTTTACACCGGCATACATCCTATTGAAAACAAATTAACCAATTCATAAATAAGAATAATTTATACAAGCGAAAGAGTTATTCAAAATATTACGAATGAAAATTAGCGACTGTAATAGCTGACTTCATTGACTGTAATAAATAATCTAAACGGAATGTTCTCAATATGCCGTCAATATTGGATTAATTGTTGAATTATCAGACACTACTAATTTAATTATCTTATTGAATAATCTCTCGTTGCACTCTCAGTGATTGTAACTGGTGAAACACTCTAACGTGGAAAATACACTATATGTGCACACATATTCTTCTATAAGGTAGCAGGTTGTCAGGTGCATTATACCATTCCAGAGCAATATTTCTTCCCACAATCTTATCCGCAGAACAATAACTGATGATCACATGAAATTCTCACACGCAGGTAGAAATAATGTTCTTTCTGTCGTTACTGTTGTCTATCAAAACGTGTTGAAGAATAGGAATCCATCAACAAAGTATATTCGAAAATATCAAATCAAATTGCTCTGATAATAATACAGGCCTGCGAGGTTTGATTTTTGATCCACTGAGATATAGGAGTGATTTCCGTCGTAATTTTTACTGCACTGAAGTCTGCATCCGAATCTGATCATAAAATTTGTCTAGCAGATCAGGATTTTGAAATATCCTGTAACCTAAAAGTTCAAAAAAGGCCGTTTTTTTACGTTTTTCAGATTACGATAACTTTAAGACTTGAGGATATTCGTTCATTTGGCCAATAGATTCGAATTCCTTACGAAAGTATCTACAGAAGTGCATATGTGTGTTTTCCAAAAAGGTTAAATATTTATAATTGCAAGAATAAATTATATTAACAAATTCTTTTTTTAGTAGGTATACCTTTAACAGTTATAAATATTCAATTTTCACAAATCCTTTTTGGAAGACATACATATGCACTTCTATATTGTTTTATGAGGAATCCAAATATATTGGCTAAATCTCGGGCTAAATCAACGAATATCCTCACGCTTATCGTAATCTAAAAATGTAAAAAAAAAAACGACATCTTTTGCACCTTTAAATTAGAATATTTCAAAATTTTGACGTGCTGGACAAATTTTGTGATCAGATTCGGATTCAGCGTAAAAATTTACGTCCGAAACCACTTCTATACCTCATTGGATTTTCCAAAGTCTTATTTTTGCATTCCTGTATAATTGTGGAAGTAAATTTTTTATAAGTTTAAAAATTGAAGGATTCAAAGTAATATATTTAATAATATAATACTGAATTAATCCATCTTTTTAAATTTTCGAAAAATATAAAAATGATGATTTTCGCAATTTCTAGATATCCCGAATTTCTAAATCGATAGAAAGCTCGAAGAGCTTTCATCGAATACACAAAATTCTCGAATTCTAGCGAACGGAGGTACAGACGACTCGTGAGAAATCGGTATTCACAATAAGTAGTCACGAAGGATTTCTCGGGTTGAAGTCGTGACCGTCTGTTCCTGATGATATATCCCATGGGATCGTCGGAAACTTGCCAATCACTATTCGGGGATTTACGCCGTCCCCGAAGTGACCTCGCGGTAGCTCATACAGAATCGTCCTAAGCCATGACATCGCCCGGCTGTAGTGCATCCTTCGGCCAAAGGTTCGTGATCGCACTCGCCGCAACGGATTTACATAATACGAGGATAAGAGTGAGGAAGAGAGAAGGAGGGAGAGAGAGGGGAGAGAGAGAGAGAGAGGGAGAAAATCGTAATTCCTTGGCATACACGTCACATGGCACATAGTGCACAAGCATATGTCTTGAAATGTCAAGATATGTCGTGCCAATCGCGATTACAAAGCCCTCAAACATTTGTAAATCAAATCAATCTAAATAGGAATGATAAATTCGATAATGAAAAGTAATTTGACGGTGTGTAATTTATAATTGATATATACAACTATACATCTCGGTCAAAAATTTGGAAACATTTGCGATTTTTCGCATTTCACGATAAATTAAATATCTCGGTGAAAAAAAATCATAGAGAAGTTCTCGACCACTCATTTTAAATCACAAAGATAGGTCTTTAAATATGCGTTTAAATGTTTTTCTATGATATTTTTTAAGTTATATAAAATCGATATTTTTTGTAAAATTTTTGTCTTTGAAGCGCTGCAGTTTGATGAAACATCATTGAACAAAATATAATATTAAAGTTCTTTAAAGTAAGCTTTCTAAATCTTGTTTGTAAAAAAATGTTTTTTGAAAAAATTTAATATGATTTTTTGCAAAGATATTGAATTTTTTGTTATGTAAAGTTTTATGGTGTAGAAACTTTCTTTAAAATTGACAGCTGGAAAAAGTTCTTAAAAAATTTTGAAAAAACGAATACAAGTCAACCGCATTATAACAAACATTTTTCTCTTATCTTTTTTCCGTAAGCTTTTTAGTTTCGAAGTTAAAAATCATTTTAGAAAATGTAAGTTTTTACACAATAAAAAAATTTAATATCTTTGCAAAAAGTCATTGTACCAAATTTTTTCAGAAAATATTTTACAGTTTAATCGGATAGAGACGGCTAGATGTGACACTTTTTATTCAAATTATTATAAATCTTCACACTATTATGATAGAATAAGAATTGCTAAAACGTTGCGTGTTCAATTCTGATTTCAATAATTAAATATACTTATAAATCTTTAATATATTCCATAAATAAGAAAAAATGTGTTTATTGATTACAAAGAGGCAAAATGGATCAATGTACTCTATCCATGCACTGATAGAAATGTAATCACGAGCTTCCTAAATGAAGCTGGTGATTACGAACGAAATTAAAAGTAATGAATGATTTAACTGAAAATTAAGTTACAGTAGTTACTTAAATGTAATGAACGTGTATATTAAATTTCATGTACATGTACACAAATACACTTTTCAGTTATAAATATATTAAATTTAATGTAATGTCATGAAATTTTTAAGTGTATATTAATCAAATTTTTATTAGTTTTTATCTTAAGTATAATAATTTGTAATACTCTCTTTTTAAATGTCTTAATTAACAAAATTTGAAAGAAATAAAAATTTTACTCTTTATAATAATAATTAAACA